GAATGGATTATTTAATTGTATGTCCGATGTTCAATTTTCAAAAACAATTTTAATAAAAATAAATTGTATTTTGGCATAACTTAAAAACTATATCGTCTCCTTAATATTACAAATAGGTAACTTGAATTTTTGTGAATTTTCTGTTGCCATTATTTAACACCAAACCTCCCCTAATTTCCTTTGAAAATAAAGCCTATTTTAAAAACATCCCTTTTAAAGAAACTGGAAGGGAAGTAATAATAATTAGGTACATTACTTATTATTTGTTCTCTATTTTTCTTTATCTTTTAAGCAATAAAAAGTTGTACTCATTGCAATTTTAAAAACTAAATAATATATTTATTTTTTTTAAGAATTTAATGTGTAAAACTAGATATCTTGTTTTTAAATAACAGAAATATGAAACGAAGATTTAAAAAGCTTGAAAATAATCAGAATTTAGATTCATTTCAACAACCTGCGAAATAGTCAAAATAATTTCGATTTGCCGTAATACGCCACTTTTTCTTATTAACAAATTTAAAAATCAAAATCACAAATTTTGAGTTACCTAGTTTTATTTTTTATTGGGAAACAGAACTGAAAATGCGTGAAATATTAAAAAAAATCAAAACACATTTTTATTCATGAGTAACAAATTAGAATAATTCATTAAATTCGTGAAATTTTATAGTTATTTTATCGTTAAATTAATTAGAATTCGAAAAAGCTTGAGAAATAGAATTTATAATTATTACTGTATGGTCGTTGCCTTGCAATGAATACCTATTTGTGTAGTAATAAAACTTCTCTATAATTGAAATATAAGGCAAATTTATGTAAAAAACTATATTACATTTTACGTAAAACGGTTATATAAATTCAGAAAAATATGTAATTACAGATTATATTGTTACCTTCTAAATCATGTAGAAAATATTCATCAAAATACGTCAAAGTTGCATTCAAATATGGGTCACAAAATGTTTAGTACCTATTCAATATGCAGGGAGTCAAAAATTAACTTGTGAACATTTGTTGATTACGCAATTTTTTATATCTAACACGAAAATTTTATTCGTTTTTAATTACTAAAATCAGCTGTGTCCCTTTTAGGGTAATGTATAATATATTATAAATTATGATTTTTTGAGCAATTTTCTTTTTTCGAGTAAACTGCGTTTGACAATTTAAATATTTGCAAATTATTATTGAGTACAAATTATTTTCTTTCAATAGTAATTAACCGTAGCAAACAAAAACATAATTTTTCTGACTCTCAAAAAGGTGACGGTCGAATTGTATCCCGGATGATTTTAATACGTAATTAGTATAAGTACCTAAAATCTAAACGTTGTTGCCAAATCGATCTTATATCTTTTTTGTTAAAATAAAACAGTAATTTTGAAATTATAATTATTTTATTATATAATATAAAACAAAATACACTCTATATAAATAAATAAACAATAAAAAAGAAATGAAGTTCGTTACATATCTTTTATAATAACGGATATATTGTATTTCAAGACAATAATGTTTACAAAAATGATATAAAAACTTTTTTCACTGTACACACTTATAAATTAAATTCTGCATTTAAAAGAAATATTTTTACAAATTGAAAATTGGTAATGCTGCCGTCTTGTAATTTTTCAAAATTATCACCCAAAAACTTTTTCTTTATTTAAAATTTTTCTATCCTATACTTTGACCATGGTATCAATACTTTGAAGCTTAATAAAGGTATCTTTTTGAAAATCTAGAAGAACTTTTAAAAACTGGTTAAAATTTGGATGTGTATTATAAAATGAAGCATTATAACGCGAATGAAAAGATTTGCATGCGTTTGTTGTCCTTTTTAAAGAAGAGTTTTTAGCCCAAATGTTAGGAGGAAAGGTAGAAATTTCATCTATATAAGTTTCAACTAAATAGTCATTAAATTTAATCACCCTCTCATCATATAGTTAAATTGCAACAAGATCAAGAACAAAGCAATCGCTATCTTCTGCTTTAGGGAATGATAAACCAAAAATATAAGTAAGGTATTTAGTTATATCTCTTTCTAAATTATCTTTTAACTGATACTCGGTGGAAAGTCCTAAAGTTTGAATTTTTCTATAAAAACTTTGACCTAGGTGAAATAGACATGCCTTAAATTATGTTTTTGGAAAAATTTTGCGAATTGCCTCGTGTATTGCTAATTCAAAATCTGAAGTTATAGTTTTTGGAAAAGAGTCATGACCTGTTGACCTGTTATAGATAGGTATATTTCTTTTAAATATTGTAAAGCTAATTTATATGACACTGTATGGAATATGATGATTATTTTTAAATCCATGAATGGTAAACAATTGTAAAAAAATTAGGGTAATAATCGAAAGTGGCGTCAACATATAATTCACTTATTTCTTCTAGAGCATAAAGATTAGTTTTACATATAAAGTGTGGTCCGCGGAGCGCTGGGGCTCCGCAAAGCCTTTGTGGGGGCTCTGCGAAGAAAATAAAAAAGCAGTACCTACCGTTGCAACGGGATTTGGCTTGAGCACCATTTAATTTTTTTTTATTTTTTTTGTTTTTTGTTTTGGTTTTTTGTTTTTTTTCTATTTTTTTGTTTAGGTCAGGAAGGAGTAGTATATGATTTTGGTATTTTCGGTTAAAGGACCTTTTTTTTTTCTAGAAGTCAAGAAGAGGCGTACATGTATTGAGAATTTTGTTGTAGAGGCTTCGCAAAGAAACGGGAGGGACCTGGTTAGAGGCTAGAGCAAGGAAGATTTTTTTCCGAAATGTGTTTAGGGCTCCGTCAAATATTTCACAATTCAAAAAGGTTCCGTCGCCAAAAAAGTTTGAGAACCACTGTTCTAGAGCATAAAGATTAGTTTTACATGAAAACATGCCTATATTATTTATTTCATCATTTTTAAGAAGAAAATATTCGTCCCTATTAGTTTTTAATGTAACAGAATTTAATAAACTATGAAATTCAACTATATCAGTTGGAAGTTTTGGTGCAATTTTAGACCTAGCAGTATACATATTTTTTCTCATCATTTCAACGTCATGAGTGGTAATAGTTTTACAGTGGGATTCTCTTAGTTCCTTTTTAATCAAACCCATTGGTTTTGCCGAAATATCTTCTATTACTTTCATTTTTAAAGCATTGCTTAGAGTCTGCATATTTAGAAGTTCTTCTGATAATTTCCCATGGTTGTGGTTTAAATAAGATTCTATTACTTCAAGACGTTCCAATTTTAAAAAAAATATGTGTACTTTTACAGGACTAATAAAAAGTATAGGATTCTTAAAAAAATTCTTTTCTTCACACATTCGATAAATTAACTATTAATATATTTATTAAATCACCCTGTAGTTAATAAATTGGATAATTAAACATATGGTAAATAAACAAACGTCTTGTAAAAATACTGCGTTTCACATTAATATATTGGGCTATGTCGGTATATACGAATCACCCTGTATAAATGGCACCTAATATCTTTTGTATTATCATTGGACATGACAAATAGAGTAATAATTTATTTTTTAGTAAATAGTTTCTCGTTCTAGAACAATAAAAGTAATTACCAAAACATGTCCTTACTTATTTTGTGGTTCACCCTGTAAGGAAAATAATTTTTGATCCCTTTTTATATTTGTAGAATGCCAAAAGATGTAACAAGATTTGGTACAAAAAGTTATAATTGATTAGCTTTCTCCTGAAATAACCATTATCGAATAAGTGGTATTTCTTAAGTTTAACACCCTGTATCTCAAAAACCAGTCATATGATTTGAATGGTCCCATGGACACTATTGCTTAAGAGGTCGAGAACTGCAACATATCAAAGATTTGAGATTTAACGGATCGCCACTTTTCCATAAGTGGTGTACGGGATCTTTTAAGATTGTTCAGATTGTTTTCTAATGGCAAAGTGGCGTTCCGTCAAATGTAATAAATTTTGAATATAATGTTGTACTCGACTTGTTGACCAAAAGTGTTCATGGGACCAATTTAATCCTATGACTAGTTTTTAAAATACAGGGTGTTAAAGTCGAGAAATCGTATTTCTTGAAACTACGTAACTTAATTAAAAAGATCGAAATGAAAAATATAGGGTGATTCTGAAAAAGGAATATTTCTTTAATTATTGCTCAGTTATGTTTCCAAATGATCACGAAGCAAATGTACCTCATCAGAATATTTGGTTTTAACATTTTGGAATAACCGTCCGTCAATATCTTGACGCCACATTTCCCGTAAGGTGGATAGGACGTCGAGGAACAATTGAGTGGCCACCGCGTTTCCCAGACCTGACTCTCTTAGATTTTTTCTGTGGGGTTATTTAAAATCAGAGATGGATTTTAATAGGCCAAATAATTTAGATAAGCTACGGCAAAGAATTCGCGCTGAAGTGGAGCACATTACACCTGAAGTCCTTGAGCGAAGTGTTAAAACTCGTATTGGTCAGTGCAAAATGGTTGAAAGAGAGCAATTTGAACATTTACGCTAAATTTTGTTTGTTATTAGGATTTTCTTTCATTAAAGTTAAATTTTGATTTCTTTCGGTAAGTTGTTATTTTTTCCAAAAAAAATTTATTGAAGGTACCAATTTTTTTACACCATCATTTAAGTAATTGGCCCATCTATTAGAAATAGCAAAAAAAAGTTAGGGTTGTCTTTTAAAAAACTAATGATGACATCATGGTGCAAAAATACATGACGTCATAAGGTAGCTAATTAAATAATAAAATTGATCTGTCCGAGCATTTTGCTTGAAAACATTAAATAATGCCATTATGAATTTTGTTCCTTACTTTATCACCACACTGTATATATATTTTAACATTAAACGTATTTTTAAGGAAAGTAATTATAAAGTATTAGATATACATTGTCGATCATAGTAACATTTTCAGGATATTTCAAGTGTCATTAAAAACAAAACTTGCAAATTTTAATTTTAAATCCAACTCAACAGAAACCTTCGTAAAACCGAATTTAATGCATTTTATAACTTAAAAATGGCTCTGATACAACCAAACATCGAACCCGCCGTACCACCCATTTCTGAACAATCAACAACAACCCCGTCAATCGTAATCCATCAAAACTCATCCTGCGAAAATCCTTCCCAAGTCCCAGACGTAATTCCACCCAGATGCAAGCAAACAGAAGAGCCCGTAACCCGCAACGGTACGAAAAAGGAAAACAAAATTGAAGAAGAGAATCAAGTTATAAACATCGAATCATCTCCACGAAGAGGTTCGGACAACAAACTCGTAAAACAAACTAAGATAGACTGTTCCGTCGAAAATATAAACAATGGACTGTCGGCGTCGAAATCTAACGCCGCGACGGTCAGTAGAATTTCTGACAAGGCGTCGGTTGATGAACGGCTCGCACAGCGACGCAAATCTCTAGTGCCTATGTCGAGTATGGAGGAGGAAAATCTTAGGGAACGGTTGAGGATGGCTCATTTGAGACGGTGCAACGAGATTACTGCTAAGGAGGAGAAATATAGCAGGGATACATTCAGACTACTCTTTCAAAATAAGGTAAGAACATAAAATATTAATTTACAATATGATAAACCTCATTTTTTTTTTGATTTTTCCAAATACGTTTTGCAAAATTTTTTCCACGAAATAAAGAAAATTATTTTTGAACCCCTTAAGAGGAAAATTTACATTACAACTTAAGAACAATCCAGTCCCTTCTGACGTAACACCGCACGAATCTAACGACCTCCCTTTAAAGTATTTGGAACTTTGTTCGCTACATAAATTTGGCAATGTCGTTTGTCGTGTGCTGAAGAATAATCATAGGATTGGGTAAGGTCCCATTACAATTACATGAACACAGGTATATATTATATATCATCAATTGGTGAAGTAATTCGTTTGCTATCGCCGCCTACCGGGGGTTTAGTGGCTTGTTAATATTATAGGAATGTAGGAATACTATTTTTAAACCAAACAACTCAAATATTTTTTTATTTATTGATAGTTATAGATGATATACACGGTGTCCAGAAATTAGACGGTCATATTTTAACAGCGTAATCTACATCCTAAAATAGTAGTAAAAGTTCATATAAACATAGGTTCCAAAACGTTTCTTTTCTGATATACAGGGTGTTAAAAGTGAAGTCCTGATACCACACTTTTGTAAATATTTTCTAAACGTTTAAAGATAATTAGGTAAAATTTGGTACAAATACTAACCTTTTACCGCTACATTTATTGGACTAAACCACAATTTTTGATCATCTTCTTAGGTGGGTAAATTAGGGGGAGCTTAGGGTAAAATTGTCTAAGTTTTTTTTGTTGATAGTTTTTAACAATTTTGTCTATAAAATTTGGAAAACCAAGATTTTCTGTATAATAAAGCTGCATTTGTTGCATCTCGCTAGGACGCGCCATTTTCAAGAGAAAAGCATGTAACCTTATTCGAAAGTGTAAACAATAATTAGTAGATCTGTAGAATCAGAAATTTGATTTTTTTTTTAACTTTGGAAAACCGGTAACTAAAAAAATTTTAGAAAATATTTACAAAAATGTGCCATCTGGACTTCACTTGTAACACCCTGTATCTAGAAAACGAAACGTTTTCGGACCTATGTTTATATAAACTTTTACTCCTCTTTTTAACCGACTTCAAAAAAGGAGGAGGTTCTCAATTCGTCGCAATATTTTTAAAATTTTTTTTTATGTATATTCAGCGATAATTATTTAACACGGTGTCCGATTTCAATGATTCTTTTTTTGTTAGAAAGCGGGTACTTCAGGGGTGGTCCCATATAAATTTTGTTAAGATATGGTGACGGCATCTGGACGTTTTTGAATTCGGTTTTTTTTATTTTTTATTTCTAATACTTGTAGGATGTAGATTTCGCTGTTAAAATATGACCGTCTAATTTCGGGACACCCTGTATATTGGAAATTCGAAATAATAGTTATGACGTAGCGGTGTTCTTCTAATTGTAATCGGACCCTAGGTATATGGATACGGAAAGTGATGAATTGGAGATAGTTAAATTGTATTTATTGTATTAAAAGAACAACAAATATAAGTACAATTAAATAAGTATATTAATATAACAATTTTTTAATGTCTGTATAATTTTTTTTTAACATAGATTATTAAATTTAAAAAATAACTATTAAAACACGAAATGTTAATTTTTTCTCTTTTACAACATAAAATATACAATACTGTTGAATCAAAATTTTCTCTTGACAGCAGGTGGTTTTGTGACGCGACAATTATGATGCTTTGCATCTCATGAATTAAAGCTAATTCTCTTTCAATCTTTAGGTGATCACACCCCTTATAATTTTTGGACAAGAATATCTCAAAATATTTAAATTTTGGCAAAATAAATTAGGCAATAATATTTAGAATATGCATATATTTTAATCTTTTAATTCCTTCCAGTTTTCGAAAAAAACTAAAATGGCTTTAATTTGAAATATCATAATGAAAATAAATGCATTCCTCGACAGCACTATTTTTAATATAATCCCCAAATTTAAGCTCCTAATGTCTTGTTAATGATTTCTTAAAAACTGGTGTAAATTGTTGCAAAAAACGAATAATAACAGAGTGTACGATACGATAGTTACAAGCGCGTTATACCAGAAGGCAGCACTTAACGAGACGTTTTAGCCACTAATTTTGGCGAATTTTAAAAAATCATTACCAAGACATTAAGAGTTTAAATTTCGGGATTATATTAAGAATAGTGCTATTGAGGAATTCATTTATTTTCATTATCATACTTGATTTTTTTCTCAGAAACTGAAGGGAATTAAAACTTTAAAATATAGGCATATCTAGTTAATATTACCTAATTTATTTTGCTAAAATTTAAATTTTTAACAAAATTACTTTTTGAAAATTATAAAGGCTGCTGCATTCACCTTAATATACCAACATACAGGGTGTTTAAAAATTTATGCGACAAATTTCAGGAGGTGATTGCTCGTATGAGTCTTTTCTATAACAAAATTTCCTCAGCCCACCCCTTTCCGAGATATCACCCTTAAGAGGTGATGACTAAAATTGAGTTTATATTTTTTTCTAAAATTTCAGTAAAGCTAGAAACTTAAAATTTACAAATACGTAAAATTTATTTATCCCTCGTAAAATATCAGTAAAATATCTATATTATTGTTTTTATTCACAAATATTAATTTCTTAATCTAACAGAGGCGCCACTTTCCGAGCGAAAAATTTTGCAATGTGTTTCGTAGTACCCCACTTTTAAAGTTTATATTTGACTATTTTTAAAAGAAAAAAAAAAACATGTACGTAGGTTAAATCTATGCTTCTCTGGAACCACTTTGTCAAAATTCAATTTAGTTTTTTCTAAAAAAAATTGAGAAAATGGGTAAAAAAGTCGGGTTTTATACTTTTTTTTTAGAAAAAACAGTTTTAAATTTTAAAAAAGTGTATCCAGTGAAGCGTAGATTTAACATTGACTTACACGCACATATTTTTTTTCAGAATAAGTAAAAAATAAACTTTTAAAGTAGGGTACTACGAAACCCTACTTTGCTTTAAAGCCAAGTAAATACTCCTCTTAAAGTGGAACCAAATTGAGGACTTCCAAAAACAATACATGTCACAAAATATAAAATTGCAGTAACTTTATCTCTCAGTCCCTTTCCGCTATTTATTTTGTTCTAATCTGAACCGTTATCAAAATAGTACAAAATAAATAGCGGAAAGATTAACGGCATTAATATTTTTTGTCCGATCACATTCGCAATAAACATTATTTTTTATTGCGAGAAAGTCAGATATTTTTTACGAAAGTTTGTCATCTTACATTGATTAATTCCATCCTCTTGAAAATATGAATGAAATCATTACGCAAAAAGTGTTGTAGAAGAGACACCTATATTTATTATATTTACAAAACACCACTTAAGTTTAGTTACACGTAATCAATCACCATCAATGTTTATTGCCTCTAATTATTATTGTAATGGAAATTTGTTGCATTATTGTATTTCTAGGGGCTACAAAAAATCATATTTACTTTAAAACATAGCTATGCTAATTATAGTTTCATAATCATTACCTACTTTGTAACACTTTAATAGCTCAATCATTTAGAATATAATTTATATCCGTTCCATAATTATTGCAAAATATATCAAGAAATTTTTGATCAAATAATGGGCCTTCAAATCAAAACCGACGTGGCTACTGCTCCGACAACTTCTCTATAGCATATAAATTCCAAAATGCATTTTTCAAATTACCCCTGCGAAATAATGAAATAGTATATTATAGTATAAGTGGATATAACGGTCTTTAAAACACGCGCGATTTTTCGAGCACAACGGCGCAACCGGAGTGCTCGAAATAGAGCAAGTGTTTTAAAGACCAGTTATCCACGAATACTTTACGCAATTTTTTTTTTATTGGTATGCTTTGAAATTCTAAATATTGGTATTATTATTTCTACAAAAAAAAAATGGAAATAAGAACTAATAACTGAAAATGGTTGAATTTGTGATGTAACATTAGTATACCTCTTTGTCATGAAAATGAGACAAACACAAATTTATTTTCAATCTGTCACGTAAGATTAATAATTGTCGCAACAGTTGTTATTGTTTAAAATGAGTTCAAATATTGAGTATTTAAATAATAAAGCAGAATCGCGCTTAATACCACAAAAATCCAAAGCGGTTTATAAAAAAGAATACGATAAATTGTTCTCGCTTATCTCCAGAAAATGTCGGAACAGTATAAAGTATCGACTATGTGGACTATCCATTCAAAATTACAAAGTATGTTGAGGATAAACAAAGGGGTCGATATAAAATCGTTCGTCAAAGTGCATGCATTTATGAAGGCAATTAGCAAAAATGAGGTAGTCAAGAAGGCTTATGTATTCGAGGAAGACGATTTGCGGAAGTGTTTTACAGATGCACCGGATATTACGTATTTATTTTTGAAGGTGGTTGCTATTTGTGGCATCTTTGGCTCTTGTAGAAGATGTGAATTGTGCGATTGAATACATTTTTTAAAAAATTTCTCAGAAATATTTTATTTGACATTACAAGGCACTCCTGTCAGATCAATATTTAAAAAGTTGGCATTTAGAAATCACGTTTCTCGGGTTGTTGATGTTGTCATGGTTACTTTAAAACGCGTGTTTTTTAAAGTTCGTTTTAAACACGCTGAGGCGTACTTTAAATAAGTAAAATAGAGTACCAATAAAAAAAACTATTTTTTTACCAATCATTATCCAAAATAGACTTTGGCACATTCAAGTCTAACTGGAAAGTTGACGTTTTCCGGGATTTGTCAAAATTTTACATAATTAGAACACGTGTCCCCAAAGTTACTTTGGCGCATGCTTAGTTTCATTTAAAAGGCTACATTAAGGCTTCAACACTTGCGCCAGTGGTTTTGTAACAAAGCAAGTATTTAATACACTGT